TAAAATGGACATTAAAAGATACTTACCTACCTCAGAGGGTTGTTTTGAGATTTAATTGGTTTACATTTGGAAACCCACAGAGGAAAATTGGGTTTAAAGCATCCCACTGTTGGGCTGACAGTTTTGCTGTTGTGGTAGGTGTCCTCTTCCAGTCTCCTCATCTGAGACACTGGGAAATCCAGACCACTTTGTTGTGAGCAGCTATGGGCAGTGGATACATCTTGACTGGCCACGTTAGATGGTGTGCTGAGCCAGGGCCCATGGAGGCTGAAGCTGGGGGCACACCCAGGAAGGTCTCTGGGGTCTGGAGGAGTGAATCTGGCCAGCAGCATTTCTTATTCTGGGAGGGCAGAAGTACTGATGGCACCCTTGAGGTAGTGTTGGCCGAACAGAAACCTCAACCATCTTGATGGACCATGGACCTTCACTATATGCTTCTGGGTCACCCTTCTCTCTTGGCCTAAACTCCCTTTCCCAGCTGAGGCCCTGGGAGCACGTGAGCTCAACCAGTGCCCGTCTCAGAAGCCGTCTCCTACCTCCTCTCTCAACACCTTTCCTTTGGGGTCTTGATGCTGAGCCAGACAGAGAAGTGGGAAGTTCCGTGGTGTTGAATGGCTTAAGCTATTTAAGAAAAAGTATTGTTGTTTTGAGATGTAGCCGATTTACAGACAATTCTAACTCAGTTGTAGTCTGGAGCTATTTTAAGATGAAGCCAGGTCTTTGAGCTCAGGGCTTCCCTGGCGTGTTGCAAGTGATGCGCATGAGAACGGGGTGGGATTTGCAAAGGAGGAGACTGTGATAGTGGATTAACAGAATTCTGAAAGTTTGCACGCACTTCCTGTACTTTTCTTTTATAACTGTTACCTAAAGCAAATATGTTCTTTATTTGTATAAACTTCATTGCAGAACATTTCCAGAAGACCTTGAGTGAACACACACAGTGTTTGAGTCCGTTTTAACTGTTACCTGTTCTGTAAACACCTTCTGTTGAAAGATAAGGCTGGAGTGATTTTCTTTCGTTTTTCCCCTGCCACTAATTAATTGCATTACCACCAAGGATGTAGATTTTTTTTTTTTCCAATTAAGTTAGCAGATCCCTTTTTTCTACTGCAGTTAATGATAATTGATTTTTTTTTAACTCTCAAACTGCTTATGCATGCATCACATTTTTTCTGCCGATAATAATAAAATCTGATTTTATTATCAGTAGACTCTGACAAGTACTTGTTAATATTTTATATCAATTTTTAATGTGAGCAAACACCGATATAGAAATAAATTACTACTGCCTGTTTCTATGTGGAAAATCCTCTCTACAAGTACAGTCATGCGAGGCAAAAGTGGCCAGTTTGGTCCTGGTTAGCTGTTTTGAGGGATGCAAAGTTTGTCTGCCTTTGAGCTGTAATGAAACAAGTAGATTCTTGAATACTATTTTTGCAGACCAAGGATGATGAATATCGGACAGTAAAAATGTTCTCTGATGATGTCTACTTACTGATTCCAGCTAAAATCATGTGCAGGGACATCTACATGATTTCATAAAAAGCAGTGCGCAATTTGTGGCTTAAAATAAATTCTTCCAAATGAAAATCAGTGCACTTGAAAGCCATTATGATTTGTAGTGATTTCAAGTATTTAGGTTTTGAAATAATCACGCATAAAACCTATATTAACTGTGCTCCAAAAGCAATGAACTGATGGAGACAGTGCCACAGTAGCCTCTTCTGTTGATATTGGAGCACCTGAATTTCATGTGCTGCCAGCAGAAATTATCATTCACAGAAACTGCAGCTGGTGAGAAGGGATTGTTCATCATATTTCAAGCCTATCTGCTGAGAAGGTGGTGGACAGTGACTTGCTAAAGCCTCCTGTGCTCTTGTGAACAGCCCCACTGGAGGCAGCAAAGCTACCTCCGTGCAGCTTGCCCCATCAGTCCTTTCTTGCTTTCAACTCCTTTTGCAGGTGGCTCTGAAGGCTTGCCGAGAGTCTCTGTCTGGAATGCTGGGGGAGTAAAGCCACGTGCTGTTCCTACAAGGATGCTGGAGAGAAGCAGGCAAAGGCTCAAGAGGTATTGGGGATTTATCACCCTTGCTTTTACATGTGCTCTCAGTTACCCTTTGTATTGCCCTCTAACCCAGTAATGAGGCCAAAACAGCCCTCTATGAAACTGGAAAGGTACCAGCACTCTGGGGTTTCTTCAATTTGCTGTAAATTATGCTTTATTAAGGATGTCTCTTGCCAATATCCACAGACCCCATGTGGTTCACAGCAGTTTATGAGGTTTTACAGAACTGGCATTATGAATCAACAGCTTTGTTCTCTAGGTCTCTCGACACGGTTGGGTTTCGGGCTAAGATACTCTCTGCAGGGACCTTGCTTTTCTTCTTCCTAGAAGGTGTCAGGTACTTAAGTAATTCTTTAGGACATGCACATACTGCTCCTGGTATATAGCAAGGACTGTTGGCTCTGTCAGATGCCTCGGCAGACCTTGAGCTCACGATGGTGTTTCTCAGTCCTCTTCAGTTCATCCATTTGGAGCCTGGTAACTGCCCACCACCTCCTTGCTGCCCTCACAGCTACCATGGAGGGAGTGTCCTCAAAGGGGTTGCTTCCCTTTTGACCTGTGTCAGTGAAATTCTGCAGAAATTGTGATGGGTGATTCACAGCTGGGACTAGAGGTAATGTGGAGAGGCATCAGAAGAAAGGGGTAGAGTGCTCATGTCCAGGGCTGCTCAGTCAGGTGGACTTTGCAGATCCTCTCTTTCCTGGCATGCTGGGTGAAGGGAACGGAAACAGGTAAGTAGCAAAACAGTGTGACTGCAAGTGAGGGCTGTATAAACACTAGCGTGTAAATGCACAGCCAAAGGTCTTCCTGTCCTGCAACTCCCTCCCCATTTTGAGTGGGATGTCCTGTACCTTCTGCTCTAGTCCTGAAATGCTCTGTACTGATGGACAAAGAGCTGGTGAAAGAAGCTTCGCTGACTCGTTCTCTGTGAAGCAGGTGGCTCTCTTGCAGGGTCACAGTATGGATCTTCCTTGTGCACAGGGCAGGAGTCCAAAGCTGAGCACAATGTTGCCTCGGCTGATGTGGGGACAGCAGATACGTGCTGTAGCTGTGGTGAGATTTTCTAGATCCTTGACAGGTGTTTGCTGTTCTGTCCCTTTAATCCACCCCCCTATTGCAAACTACTCCCTGAATTTAATAACTTAGTTCAAAGAAAATACTTTTATCTTGACAGAACCCATTGAGTCAACCTATTTTAACTGAAGATTTGGTTTCCAAATAATATCTCCTTTCTGATAAGGTTCAGGTGTCATCTCCGTGGACATTGGCAGGAATTTGCTTGACTATGACAGCTTTTACAGAGTCTGGCAATTAAGTTGTCAAGATACATTTTCCTCTGCCAGGAAGCACTAATTGATGATAGTCTTGGCTGGAATAAGTCCTGAGAGATGGATATTGTAATCGGGATGAGCAGAGGTCCTTGTAGCTGAGGGCTGCATCATTCCAAGGGTCTGGAGTCCTTGAAACTTGGAACTGAGATAAGGGACAGGGCAGGAGATATCAAGATTGAATATCAGGAGGAAGGAATGAAAACAAAATATATAAGTAAAGATGCCTCTGATGTCACTAGAGATTAACAAAGCTGGAAACTGGAAATTCTGGCATTTAGGGAGACTTTAAGTTTGCAGATGCACACAGCAAATGATTAGTGTTACAGCTCCTGGGTATGAAAGCAAATAGAATTTTCCATTAGGTAATCCCCAAAATCGTGTTGTTGCGGATTTGCTTTTCAAACGAGAAAGACGTTGGAGATGTCCTTCGTCTTAGAAAACTGGGATGATTCAACATGAGCTCACTCTGTTTAAATTATGTCAAAAATAGATCCGCAAGTAAGGATTTTGATTACCAAGTACAGAATTTAAAAGATTAAAAGTTTTAGTGAGAAATTTGGAGAATTTACGATCCTAATTAAGATGACTGGAATTGAGACCAATCCAAAGAATTTCCCAAAATCTCCTTAAATAAAGGACAAAGAAAGCGTTCAGGACCAACTCAAGTCCTGTTACCTTAATAGTGGGCAACGCTTCAGGAGAAATTTGAAGAAAACTGAGGATATAAATTATGAAATGATAACGCGTGCAGTGAATTTTCAGGAAGGAAACCATGCATGGGTTAATAACAATCTTTGCAAAGTTGGCTGGTTTCCTAGATAAAGGAAGCATGGCACATCTAGTCTGTGCGGACATCAAAAGCATTTGGCTTGCTGCCCTGTGGGATGGTGTCACTCGGGCTTGGTGACGTGGGTCAGGAGCTGGCCATGGGGCGGGTGGTAGCTGGTGGGAAGAGGGTACCGTGGGATTTATTACTGAACAGCTAAAAACATGGAATTTAGGACCAAACTTAATAGTTCTGCTCCTTGCTATAGTACAGAAAAATTTGGCACATGACACAGAGCACTGCTGAGCATTTTAAAACGGAAGACCAGGATTTCTCCTGCAGAGCCCCGGGTGACCTTCCGGGCTGAAATTGCCTGGGCTCAAACTGGGATGAAATGCAGCAGGGATGACTACAAACATCACGCTCTGAGGTTAAATAACGAGGGTTTGGGTTATCAGCTGGTGCCTTGGTTGAAAACTGTAGAGGAGGAGACAGATCTAATTGCATTTAGCTAGTGGCAGGGAAGATGTGAGCCTAGAATGTGCTGTAGCCCAGGGCTGGGACAGATCTGTCCAGGAGGAGAAAGGTCCTGGCACACTCCCCTCGAGCCACCCAAATACCTCTTCCTGGTGTACACACCTGTGTCAATCATTAGCTAGAGATCTTGATCTGGGTAAATATATTTTTGGCTTTGAACAATGATGACAGGCTTGGGGCATGACCTAATAAGGTGGGACCACTTGATATTGTGGTGTGTTATATATTCCTGCTTCTACCCACAGCCTTCCTCTCCCGTACAGAGCGAGCAGGCTGTGCAGGAACCCTACTGCTGCCTGCCATGAAAACTAAGGGAGTGCTCGTGAAGGCGGCTCTAGCCCTTTGCAGCTGCTTAGGTGAGTATTTCCTGGGATGCTGCAGAGATCAATCTCTCTGAATCGGAGCTTCATTGTGTCCTGTAACGTGGAGGAGAGCCTAATTCTATGAAGAAGTATTCCTCCCGAGAGAGCATGGCAAAAAGTTTGACTTCAAGACTGAGGTTTTGGCAAACCTCATGCAGGTGACTGTTTTCTTCACCTTGGTTTGAAGGAGCAAACTGCTGAAGGAGCAGTCCTAGTGCAGGGCAGGAGCTTGCACAGGGAAGTACTGTATGTAAGGGCAAAACAAAACTGTTAGAAGTGGCATTGTTATCCATGTGAGGAATATAAATGCAAGCTTTAACCTCTCTGATTGCTCTAAGCTTACTGTGCTGTTCCTGGTAACTGAGAAGGATGTGTTTGGAGACAGACAGTGCTAGAGATCAACAGTCATCTTAAACATCCATGCCCAAACTTTTGAAAATATCTTAGAAGAGATACAGAATCTGAGAACAGACACAGAATTTGTTTCATGAAAAGATTTTCCGTGTATTGTCTCTGCATGCCAATAACTTGATTTTTTTTCCTATCTCCGTTTTTTTCTTTCAGGTATTGCCTTTGGAGTTGTGGTGAGCTACAGATCTGTTTATTCTGTTCTATTCCAAGTTTCTGGTATAGCAGAAGCAGTATGTAATTACCTAATGAGCAAGTGGTTTAAACCTAATGAAAGCTTGGCTGTTCAAATAATATTTGCCAATGCGTGATTGAATGATATTGCCAATTTCACAAGAAAGTAAAAGATCCCCCATTTTTTACAATATATTCAGTTCATTACATAGAATGAAGAAGAGAAGAAGTAATTATATAATCCTCTTGTGTCAGCTCTTAGACATAATTTAGTTACTCCAAGCCAAATGCAGTAGGTTACCTCCTCATGAGGAACAGTCTTCAGATGACAGGCTTGAAAGAATTAAAGACACTGATTCTGGTATTTTTTTTCTGTGCAGTAAGACTGGTGGAGCTGTGTTCCTTCCACGGTTTTTTTTTTTTACGTCTATATCACAGAGAGAAAAGAATAGGATCTGTGTGATGCTCTTCCCACGCAATTAGGAGTCTGGCTGGAGACTGCAGCGTAATTTGCAATAATCAGATTTTGAGCTGAGGGCTCTGGTGTACAGCTGGGCTCCCAATTACCAGCCGCCTTCGTTAGGCACTGTCTCACCCACAGCAATCTTTCCTCCATGCCGGGCCTCCCCTGGACCCCAGCAGGAAAACATTATCAGAAACTTCTGCAGAGAAGATTCACTCCTCCTGACTGCTTGAGCAGATTCCAAATAATCCCTTGAATATACCTCCTGGCTGCAGTGGTGGTGGGGCTGCACGGGGGTTTCTTTCCACGGGGGAGCCAAGGCTGGGGCTGATTCTGTGCTGCTTTTGCAGCTTGACTGCAGCCAGTATCCCGGTGTCGTCGGCGAGGATGGGACTATTTCAGTAGCTTGCCCCAGGATCTTCGAGCCAGTCTGCGGCACTGATGGTATCACATACAACCACGAGTGTGAGATCTGCTCCTACAACCAGTGAGTATTGCTGGAGACCTGGCAGAAGGGCTGCAGAGCCACGGGCCGGCTTCAGCTCCCCAAGGTGGACTGGGCAGAGGGGGTATGAGTTAGCAGCTGGGACTGGGGTATGCGTGAGCATTTGGTACTGACCCAGCCAGCCTCAAGGCGATGCTGCTCTCTGCCATCCATGACATGGGTCTTACTTTCTTCTAGGGACCACAACACAAGTGTGAAGAAGGCACATGATGGAAAATGTAAATCGGAACCTAATACGGTAAGACAAAGTCTATGTCAGACTTCAGCTGGCAGTAAAAGGGGACAGGTCAAACACCACGCAAGAGGAAAACAAAACGTGCACTGCTGGTCTGCACAGCCCAAAGGGAGCTAAAATCTAATGATAACCAAAGCTGAGAGGGTTTTTATGATCCATCTGGTACCATGTCTCTACACTTTTCTAATTGAGACTTCTAGCCTCTGTAATCAGGAGGAAAATGAAAATGTTGGCTGAAGGTAGGATCTCACCACCTGGATAGCTCCAGTAGGATCTTATGAAGGACTGCCTGTGCAGGTCCCAAATAATACCTTAAATTTACCTCCCGGCTGCTATGGTGGGAGGCTGCACGGGGGTTTCTTTCCATGGGAGAGCCAAGGCTGGGGCTGATTGTGTGCTGCTTTTGCAGCTTAACTGCAGGGAGTTTGCTGGCGTTGTCAACGAGGATGGGACTATTTCAGTAGCTTGCCCCAGGATCTTCAAGCCAGTCTGTAGCACTGACGGAGTCACGTACAGCCACGAGTGTGAGATCTGCTCCTACAACCAGTGAGTATTGCTGGAGACCTGGCAGAAGGGCTGCAGAGCCAAGGGCCAGCTTCAGCTCCCCGAGGTGGACTGAGCAGAGGGGGTATGAGTTAGCAGCTGGTACTGACACAGCCAGCCTCGAGGTGATGCTGCTCTTTGCCATCCATAACATGGGTCTTACTTTCTTCTAGGGACCACAACACAAGTGTGAAGAAGGCACATGATGGAAAATGCAAACCAGAACCTACTACGGTAAGACAAAGTCTATGTCAGACTTCAGCTGGCAGTAAAAGGGGACAGGTCAAACACCATGCAAGAGGGAAACAAAACATGCACTGCTGGTCTGCACAGCCCAAAGGGAGCTAAAATCTAATGATAACCAAAGCTGAGAGGGTTTTTACGATCCATCTGGTACCATGTCTCTGCACTTTTCTAATTGAGACTTCTAGCCTCTGTAATTGGGAAGAAAATGAAAATGTCATGTTGGCTGAAGGTAGGATCTCACCACCTGGATAGCTCCAGTAGGATCTTATGAAGGACCTTACAAAATCCACATTGCACTCCTCCTTGCTGTGCCATTTTCTTCAGTAGGAGAGAATTCCCACAGGACTGATGGTGGCTTCCACTTTTTATAGTGGAATTAGTTTGATGCTGGATTTGTCCCCAAAGGCTGAGGGAGAGTAAGCAGGCTATGTAGGAGTGTTATATCTTTATATAAAAAATGTGGGGTGTTTTTCTCTATTCCTGCTATTTTTACAGATTGACTGCAGCAGGTACCGAAGAACTGAAATAGATGGTCACGTCCTGGTAGCATGCCCAAGGATACTGAAACCAGTCTGTGGCTCAGATGGCTTCACTTATAACAGTGAATGTGTGATCTGTGCCCATAACACGTAAGTCTTGTGCATTGAACTTCCTTGTGAATAATTAGCAATAATTAAGGCTCTCAGAAGTACTTCTGTGAAAGTACTAGTCTTTCTTAAGGCAGATGTCTCTGAAGGTCTCTTTTTGGAGCTGTCTTCTTGTAATTCTCCACCTGGCCTGAGCTTTCTTCCCCACTTTCTGTCTGTGCTTATGTGGGGAACCAGAAAAGAACCAGAGGACAACCCAGAGCAGAGCCATGAAGAGATCAAAGTGTTACTTGTAACACTTGATTACTCCTAACGCTTGCCATGTGATACAGAAATTCCACGCCCTTGCTGATACCATCTGCTGGACACAGACAGGTCAAGCCAATGTAGTGTCCCTCAAGACATGTGGGACCTTGCTCTCTTGTCCCAGTGCCTAGAGTGTAATGGAAAAAGTTGATTCTCAAGGCTTCCTAACCAAAGCATTTCTTTCTTTCAGAGAGCATCAAACCAACATTAGCAAAATCCATGATGGAGAATGCGAGCAGGTTGCCACTGTAAGTGCAATACATGTCAAAACTCTGTCTCTTAGGGCTGTTAATAGACTCCTGAGAACCCCACGTTTTTGCCTAGGAAACTGCAGGAGGACCATAAGACAAGGCTTATGAGGGTCCCAGTCCATGCTTTACTTTTCTGCATAGTAAGGGTGAATTTTGCATCCTCCCTGCTCCAAGGAGAGGGTTACCCCATGCACACACGCCAGACTGACGAAGCAGGATGGATATGGAATGAGAAGCTGCAGTGAGCCAGGGCTGCAGAACCTGCTTCCCTACATAATAAATTGGCTTTGGTGCCCAGGGGAGGGGGAAGCCCAAGATTCTGCTTGCTAGCGTGCTGTGCAGGTTGGCACTTTTCTCTCTGGAGATCACAAGCAGTTCCACCCTTTGTAAAAAGGATTCAAAACTTCCCTACTGATTGCTTTCTCAGGCATAGTGAGACACATGAGGGCACTAAGCATCCATATTTATAGTTTATTGTATATTTTTATGAGGCCAACAAGTCTGATGCCTCAGGAAGAAAAGCTTCTATATTTCAGCAGCAAAACTCTGTGATGTAGAAACTCCATTCTCCAACTGACAGATAACCATTTTCTTGATTTTTAAATTTATTTTATTTTGGGGGGTTTTTTACACTTTGTCCTTTCAAACCCTGTGCTTAACTACAGGGAAGCTGAAGTAATAAAAGCAATAAATAATAGCAGAGCTGGACAAGTAGGGAGAAAACCGACCCAAACCAACACAGTATTAGTCAGATTCTCAGCTGGTGAAAAGTATTTCCCACTAAATTTAAGACTGGTGGGTTTTTTTAAATGAGAATGGGCCCAAAATTTTGTACATATTCTTCTGCATGCATCGCCCCTTCTCTGATATAGTCCTTTTTCTTGACTGCTCAAGAACTAGGATAATATTCAGGCTGAAGATTTAGCTTCAGTGCATTGGGGGTTTGTTCTATCACAGGAGAAATGGGGGCTGGGATACAGAGTAAAAAGGTTGTGCATCAAATTTTCTCGCGTAGCCAGGGTTCCACCAGAGCTAATTCTCCTTATTTTGACAGGTTGACTGCAACTACCCAACAATAATCAAAGATGGTGAAGTACTAGTATCCTGTCCAAGGAACCTGAGTCCAGTTTGCGGCACAGATGGCATTACATATGATAATGAATGTGGGATCTGTGCCCACAACGGGTAGGTGCCATACATAGAGCACTCCTAAGTAGCCAGCAATGCTCTGCAGTCCTGAGAACCATCCTTCTGTATTTCTCCCTATGCCTGCTTCTTCAAGTCTCTTAAAAACTGGATTGGTTTTGGATTTACCTTCAGTTTCCTTCTGATACCTTCTCTGTGCTCAGTAGGGGCAACCTTGAAAAGTCCGATGGCAGCTTCTTGGGTTAGTCTGTGGGATGGGCAGTGACTGAGCAGAGGAAGGAGCAATTCAGAATATTGCTTTAAATTGCATGTTGTGAGAAGGTGCTATAAGCTTGTTAATAAGTAATACTGATACTCTGATTACACTCTAATAGAGTCTCAAGTAGTGGTTAAACATTTAGTTCCTCAACTTCATTGCTTCTCTTTTCCAGAAAACACGGGACTCATGTTGGCAAAAAGCATGATGGAGAGTGCAGACAGGAGACTTCTGAGGTAAGTATTCAACATAAGGCCTATTTCTTCTCTTAGCTGTATCAACTGAAAGGTTCCCTGAGGCTGCATCCTACTCTGAAAGTGAGCTGGCCTGAAGCCTGACTTTCTCCACGTGTCTATTAAGACTTGTGTTGAGCTTGCCTACAAATCCCATCCGTCCTGAGGCAGGTGTCCTCTGGGCCCTCCTTGCCTTCCTAGCCCTGGCAGATGGGCTGCACGGGAGCTAGGCATGGTGTTTTCATTACAAATTCACACCTACACCAGCCTTTGGAGTGGGGATATATTCTGGTATATGAAGCACACCTGAAGTTTTGATCTTGAGTGTATCAGTTGAGAAGTCTCAGAGCTGGTCTAGGACATGTCGACACATGAACGCGATGTTGATCAATTTGGGCTTAAATCTTCCTTTGAGGATGCTCTTCAAGTGCATTGCCAGCAAAGTCCAAATTTTGTCACTATTTTAGTGTTTTCATAGAATCATAGAATGTCAGGGGTTGGAAGGGACCTCCAGAGATCATCTAGTCCAACCCCTCTGCCAAAGCAGGGTCACCTAGAGTAGGTCACACAGAAACACATCCAGATGGGTTTTGAAAGACTCCAGAGAAGGAGACTCCACAACTTCTCTGGGCAGCCTGTGCCAGTGCTCCGTCACCCTCACAGTAAAGTTTTTCCTCATGTTGAGGTGGAGTTTCCTATATTCTCGCTCAAACTCATTATTCCTTGTTTTGCTTATATCTATACTGCAGAATGAAAAGGGGGTTATGTTTTTCTCTTCTTTTGCTTTTCTGGCGTATCTTGGTGTTTGGAATTGACCAAGCTACTCCCAGTTCTGTGGCATCTCATGAACTATGCAGTGCTGTGCAGTTTCCTCTGTGCGTGAGATGATTCATGCAGAACTGATTTTGAGAAAGCACTAGTGTTGTCTTAACATCCCAGCATAAAAGACATGCCAGGAGATTACACTGTTTTTTTCTTGTAGACCAAGGACTTTCTCAGATTTGACCTCCTGCTTTTTGTAGATTGATTGCAGTCAATACCCGTCGGTGGTTAAGGATGGTAAAGCCCTGCTAATCTGTCCAAGGATTCTGCTCCCAGTCTGTGGCACAGATGGATTTACTTATGAGAACGAATGTGGCATCTGTGCCCATAACCTGTAAGTACTGTGCAGAGGGCTCTCTCTGGAGTGGTTAGCCATGGTTAGAGCTCCAGGTGACTTTTCTTTTGATACCAACATATCTGTGTCTCTTTCTGTCTCTCCAACCTCCTGAAGTCCCTGTCACCTTGATTTTGTTCCCTGATGCTCCATTTGTGCTCCTCGGGGGAGCTGTGGGAGAGCCAGCCCTCAATCTGAACATGCTGAGGGCTGTGGTATTTGGGCAGAGGACAGAGCTGCTGCGTAGCCCACAGTGAGGACACCTCATAGGTCTCTTACTGCTTAGGGTTACACTTGCTGATGACTTGATGACTTGCTGATGATGAGAAGCTGCTTCATGAGGCGATCAGATGCTTTGTTTGTCACATATATTGGCTATGATTGTGGTTTGCTTTCTGCAGCAGCTAGGTGTCGCAGGTCTTTGCTGGTGAGCAGGCTAACACCAACCTCTCCCTTTCAGAGAACACAGGACGGACGTTAAGAAAAGCCATAAGGGAAGATGCAACGAAGAAAGCCCTCCTGTAAGTGTAACTGGCTATAAAGCTAGCACTGTCTCCTCCGCTCTCTTCAGTCTCCAGGAGGACCCTGGCTGGGCTCCCTGCTCCTGGGTGCATGGAGGGGTGATGCACAGGGCTGCTGCTGTGGTTGTCCTTAGTTGCTCACAGAGGTTTCTACCAACATGCTGAATGTGAGGGCAAGAGAGAACGGGAACAGGCCGGGACTTTCAGAACAAAATGTCCCAGTACTGGAGATCTCTGAAAAAAAAATCATCAGAGGCAGCCCAAGAATGATGCAGCCCATTTTAGCCCAGAAGGACAGAAAGACAGAAGGGTGCGTTAGATGTCTCTGTATCCAGTCAGTGCTAGAATTTCCATTGCATTAGACAGGCAGGTTAAAAAATCCTCGTGCTCTGGTCAGCCAGGAAAAATCTACTCTCGGGTATGCATCCAGAAATAGCTTTATTATCCTGCACAGTAACATTATGTGCTGATAATATCTCGACACATTTATTCTGCTTATGTAGAGCAGCTCTAAAGCACCAAAAATAATTTCATGCGTCCTGTGGGACTGCAATATATTTTCTATAGTAAAGACACATTGTTAAAATGCTGTCTTTGCTTTAATTTGCTCTTGGACCGTTTGGGAAATACGGGCAATAAGAGATGCTGCATTGGGGAAACTATGCAAAATGACAGTGAAGTGTCAGTGATGCTTAACTAGTGCAGACTGACTTCCAGTAGGTGTTTGCCTGTTTATTTGAAGTGGTAGATTTTATATATTCTAAATATTTTGCAACAGGGGCTTGTGGAACAGTTCTTTTTGCTGCTTTGAAAAAGCTGAAACAGGATCTTGGTTTAGTTAACTATGTCAGGATGGACGTAATGGCAAACACTTTAAATCAGATTCCTTGGGTTAAAGGATTGTTTTAAAACTTGCATACGTACTACTATAGGAAAATAATCTTTTTAAGCCAGCTGTTCATTTCTTCTCTCTTTTAGGAGACAATACCAAACCCAACTACAATGACTTAATTTGTTTCTAATGGAAAACTAAACTTTAAAAGCCCTTTAAAATCTGGAGGATCAGAGCGGGCGGACTGGCTTTCTTCCATCTCCTGGCACTGTTATTATATCTCCTCAGGTTGACTGCAACACATACCTGCGCCATACTGAAAATGGCAAAACCGTCGCAGCCTGCCCTTTGATCCTGAGAGAGATCTGTGGGACAGATGGTGTCACCTACGACAATGACTGTGCCCTGTGTGCCCACAACGCGTAAGCCCTGGAGGTCACCCTCTGAGAGCTCAGCAGAGTTACCCGTTGAGCATTTTTAACTTTGTTTTCTCTTCCAGTGAATTTGGAACCAATGTTGCCAAGAAGCATAGTGGAAGGTGTACAGAGGAAGTTCACCAGGTAAGTGAAACCTAAAGCAAACTAAGAGCTTGGGCTGGTGCTGGTTGCACAACTTGAATAAGCGCTGACTGGTTTTGCTGGTGGAGCCTCTTCTGGGGGTCACACCTTGTGCTGTCCGATGTTCTGTGGGCGACTGTCACCCTCCCGGCAGCAAGAACGATGTGCCCTTCCTGCACGGACAAGATAAGAAAGAGGGAGAGGACAGGTGGGGAACGAGTTATGAGACAGGTAACGTGAATGATTTTTAAGGCTTTATAAAAAGTCCCTTTCCCACAACAGTCTATCACAGCTGCCACAGGAGCTTAGCAGTCTGTCCTGGCAATATGGTAAGGGGATGCAGAAGACCCAGGGCAGCTGATGTTTTCTGGATGCTTGCGTTTTACAAAAGGATGTTCTGCAAAGATTACAAAATTGTCTGTGTTTTGAATGCTGATACCTAATATACCAGGAGATTCAAACTCCTTTTTTTTTCTTTTTTTAGCACAATATAATCTAATGTATACCAACAATGAATCTTGTAAAAATACCAGATTAACTATATTTGGCTGGCTCTAAACTATTTACACTCACTGGGGAACAGAAGAACAAAGCTATCTCATTAGCATGTGTTTGAGAGAGTCAACATCCCAAGTCACGTATTTCATTTCTATACAAGCAAACTATGAAATGTCATTCCTTTGTTTCCTGAGCACGCTCTGTGCTCAGACTGGGTGAGATACATAAATCAGGGAGGAAGAGCTTGCACTGGAGAAACTGGGAGAGCTAAAACGGAAGGCCAGTTCTTCAACTGGTGTAAATCAGCTTCAGCTGCTTATCTGCTAGCCCTCTTGGCAGATTTCAACACTCAGAGCCATCCCGTTGCAAAAGGCCTGTCAGCACATCTCCCCTCCATTCTTGTGGGCCATGAAAAACCACCTTGGTCACAGTCGGCCTTCTTGCAGGAAGTGCGTAAATAATGCCATTTTGATTTGCAGATTATTTTTGAGCTGCTTTTTATAGTATCTCAGTAGGGTCAGCAAGGTATAGGGACACCATGATAAATACAAAGCTGAATGAGTAATGCCTGCCTTCGAGCCTTGATTCAGTCTTCTCCAGCATAAGGCTGTGAAAGGAAATTGCTTGTGTTCCATGAAGAATGAGTTAATATATAACTGTAATTCATCCTATGGCAGATCCTAAAAGGCAGAAGGATAAGCAGGGGGGTTGTGTCTGGGTGCCCTCACGCAGAGCAGAGCCCCTGCCAGACCTTTTCCATCCTCATCCTCCAGCTTGACTGCAGCCGGTACCCCACTTCCACGCTGCGCAGTGGCAAACAGCTGGTGGCCTGCACAATGATCTACGATCCTGTCTGCGGTACCGATGGCATCACCTATGCCAGCGAGTGTACGCTGTGCGCCCACAACCTGTACGTACTTGTCCTTCTCTCTGGGGGGTCTGCAGAAGGGGTGCTTGGGTCTGTGAGTGCCAAGTAGTGCAAGTGCTCTCCCTGAAACCCTGTGCTGGATGGGTCCTGTGTGTCTACCCCTGTTTTCTTGCTTGCCCTGATCAGTGTTTGACCATGGGCATTTGACTGCAGAGCTCCGCAAAGGGGGATGCATCAGCTGAGGAGAGAGTTATTCCAGAAGACGTGCCTGGTCCATAAGGGGCATGTTGTTGTTAGTGCTGTGCAGGCAATGCTAAGCTAGTTTATCTGAAAATCTCCTGTGTGCTGCGTGGGAGCGAGAATTGTTCTTGCATTATGGTTGTAATGGAAAAGGTTGTAGCTAAAGATGGTCTCTAATCCTCCAGGTTGCATCAGACCAACCTTGGCAAAAGAAAGAATGGACGCTGTGAAGAGGATATCACAAGAGTGAGTGGGAAAGGATGGGAACAGAGTGGCATCTTGTTAGGCTCATAGGGGACTGTCCTCTGCTTTGGGCTAAAAATTGGGGGAGCAGTGGTGTGCAGACCTGAAGAGATCACTTGTGAATTTCATCCTGGACATAAAGCAGCCACCATCCACCCCACTGCCCTGTAACAGTGCAGGAAAAGACACGGCAGTGAGGAGAAACAGTACAAGATCACATCTGTCACCAGGAGGAAACATTGAGTTGGTTATTATGGTGTTACAGACAGCTTCATGCCTCGGTGGGGTGTCATTCCTTGTGCTGGGGTGCCAATTTGCTCCCGGGCAGAGACACTCATGTCTGTCTTCTGTGTGCAGGAGCACTGCAAGGGCATTGAAGAAGTATCTCCAATCTGCACCTTGGAAAATAGGCCTCACTGCGGCTCTGACGGCAAAACATACAGCAACAGATGTCTTTTCTGCAATGCCTACCTGTACGTACAAGAGTAAACCCTTCTTTTCATGATCAATTCCTGTACCTCATATGAATGCAGGGCTGCTTTCATAGTGTACTTTTGACTAACAGCTCATGGGCATATACTGGACATTTCTGGTGCGCTGTGATGTGTGCAAGAAGATGGGGTTTTTTTGCCTTTTAAGGGAAAATGTGAAGGGCCCATTTCTGTGATCTACATGTGGCTTCCTGTTTAACTTCAAAGATACTTTACTTGTTTTCACCAGCATGTAGTCTGTCACACAAGCTCATCGGGGCATGTGGAAAGTACTTTACCAAGCCAACTGGACTTCATCGAATGTGTGAAACCTTTGATTTCTTTCCTTTAATGATAATAATGAAAGGGACTATTTAGGCTTTTGAGACTGTTCTTTATCTCCAGTCAACACTAAACCAATACTTAGGCCAGTGAATTGAGGAACAGGGCTTCAGCACTACTCTATGCCTAATCCCTCTTTCTTATTTTCTCAACAGGGAAAGCAATAGGACTCTCAACCTCGTGAGTATGACTGAATGTTAAGCCTGGAGTCCAGCCCAGGAAGACAAGCTCCCTTACATATGACTTCTCATGTGCTGATCTTCCCCAGCAACTTTCCTGCAGTTTGTCTCATTTCCTTGGATCCTGAAATGTTTTTTTTCAATAAACTCACTTGGCAATGTTTCTCTGTCATAATGCCCTGTCTCATCCATTTTGCCCCTTCTCCTCCCCGACACGGTACTTCTGGCGGTGCATATCTGCTTTTCTGTAGATTTCTGCTCTACCAAACAATGTAGGTAAATCTTTTTCTGCCATGTGTCAGGGCCATCCCTGCTATGATGGTGGCCTGGCCTCTTCTTGGAGTTTCTTTACTCCTCAGAGCCTCTTTGTCAGTATTAGTCTCATCTCACAATTTATCTGTGTGACCTGATCACGTACTCCATCTTTACAGCCAGAGCAAGGACATGTTCACCTCAAAGGCATGGTCCACTGCCTCCATAGGACAGTGTCTAGGATGTGAGTGGTGGTTTGCTCTCAAGAAGAGCACTTTCTTGCTGTGAGCTAGGAAGGGAGACTGGCTGCCTAGCCAAGAGGTACCCCTGTCCTAGTTCCCATTGGCGCTGCAGCTGGTCCCAAGGAAAAGTGATTCCAACCAGTCTCCACTGAATTTGACCTCAGTGTCAACTACTGTTATAGGATACAATCCACAGGAGGGGAATATTGAGCTTTCTTCAGGGTCACAGACAGGAGAAACATCCACTCATGAAATATCTTGATTTATTAATGCAAAAGAGTATCTTTGGGATTGGTGGGCAGAAATTGCTGCTGGAGTGGGGGGCCAGCTCTGGTAAGTCACTGCAGCTCTGTCCTCCTAAAGCTGTTTGGGATGGAAGAGGATGCAGAGGTTCACTTGTGACCAGTTTTAGCTGAATATTTAGCAAGTCATAGGAAAGCAGTTCTGAATGATAGTTTTGCCTACCTTTTTGAGGCAAAAATGGTCAGGACCTGGTGGTACAATTGTTCTTGCTCTGGTGTCTGTATGGATAACAGGGATGTAGAGGAACCTAGGGACTGCCCTTCATCTCTTGACAGTGTGGGTACAGCCACTAGCACCTGCTCCACACCAGGTCACCAAAGCTATTTATTGCAAGTCCAGTATTTTGGGATTAAATGATTTCTTCTGCACTACAGCTACTGCCTCCCTGATTCAATGTCCCATTGTCATTTACCAAAGAAAAACACAATTATTGGGAGAAGTTTGGAAATTCACTCTTTGAATTGTCAGGCTAGAAGAAAAGGCTGAAGGCAAATGTTCCTGACTTGGAGATACTGTGGGTATTGTACCAGGGCCGTAGTACCTCCGTGCCATTAGTGTTCGTGGCTGGCATGTGCTTCTCAAGACAATTTGTACCTAACAATGGCTTATTGTACTTTTCTTGGGTCTGTGTCCTAATGTAAATGTTCCTTTGGTTTATATAACCTTTTTGCCATTTTAAGATCTTAAGGTGTTTTTTGCAGAACACGCTGCTTTAGTTACTCAGGGAAAAGAGCTGAATAATTTTTCTTGTGGACTTTGGCAGACTTTCATTTGGATTTAGCTCTGACCGCTGACTTTTGCAAGCCTGTCAAGCTGTAAAGCTGTCAAGGCCTGACTGAATGGCATTAGCTGAGCACAGCTGTGCCAAAGCCTTCTCGGTGGAGTTCATTGTCTGATGACACCAAAGGCAAACATGAACTCAAGGAAGCACAAAGTTGAGATCAAGTCAGAGCAGTCCAGGGGAAGAAGGCAAAGTGGTCATTAGAAGTTTCCATGTAGTATTTGCCAGTAGGTTTCATGCAAAAATACATAATGGAATAAATCGCTCAAACAGGGCCAGAAAAGGGGAAAAGCCAGACACTGGATTTTAAATAACCCCCAGCCTCAGGGGCTGTTTTATTCAGCAGTATAACTCTAGAAAAGTAGGGCAGCCTTCTTCTCAGAGACAGAGCTGTTTTCTCTGCCTGAAAGTTGTTTTTTGGCTGTTCCAGGGCTACTGACTGAGTGTGTGTGTTAATTAGATGATTTCTTTCTGCTCTGTGTTGCCGTGGAAGCAATGGTCAGGCAAAGACGAGCACGTTCAAGAGGAAGCATTGAATTTTTGTGGCTTAGGAAACAGGTGGAACAATACCAGGCTTAGAGTGTCACTAAGAGACATGAAAGATGGTTTTAAGGTATGGTTGACTGAGCTGGGTGCCTGCTTGGTTGTAGACAGAGGAATAGCTGGATAGATGGTAGAGATTGCTGTGCTGGGGAGCACCAAGAGCTTATCTCAGGAGCTCAGCGCTCGTCAGACTGCAAGTCTATTAAGTAACCATCTCCAGTGTGAGGGTGACAGACGCTTTGGTGCTGCTCAGCCTGCGGCTCTATTGCTTCTCAGGTGCATAATGCTGCAGAGCCCCAAGGCTGATTCCTAATTCACCTTGGGCAAAAGCGTGAGCAGCTTCAAAATGGTCTGGTTAGTCTCAAAAATCGTTCAACTCTCATGCTGTGAAAGCCTGAGTTTTTTCGCTTGGAAGGAGGCACTAAAAGGATCAGATGCAAGGAAGGATTTAGTCCTGCTTCAGTGGACTCTTATTTTTGCACTCTTGCCGTGAACAGAAATATTTGCAGGTGCAGCTTTATACTCTCGGTCAAGGATGCCATGAAGAAAACATTGCCTTTCCAGTGCCTGCCATGACTGCGGCATCCGGCAGGTGAATGTTGCTGCTGAAAGAGCTGGTCCGGCTCCATGGGCTGCCTCGCAGCCGCTCCTGCGGCCTCTGGCTCTGGGGAGCTGGGGCTCAGCTCCTGAGCTGCACCAGGGGCTGCCCAGCTTTCACGTATTTCACACTGATGGTGATCCGCCCTCAGGATTTGTGACCTGTAAATATATTTGTACATATTGCAGAGGCAATAGTTTAAAAACGTAAATATCCTCCATCCTTCCTTTTTTGCCTAGCTAATCTTTACGGCCTTATCAATGTTTTCTGAATCTACAGTCATTTTTCTTAGAACATGAAGAGGAGGAAGGATGGGGTTAATCATTTAAATCTTGATTGATAAGTGGGATTTGGAAATCAATAGTTAGTCTTTTCATATTGAGCTGAAAGATATTTTTTGTCACCGTTTATCAGCACTCACCCACCTGTGACTTGAAAAAAATAATCCACAACTTTTCCATGATAGTATCTATATTTAAGCTTAATTCAGACACTTTACGCCAAAATCTATACCTTTCAAAATGAAGTCTGTTGATAATTTGCCCTGGTTTAGGTATTTTTCATACGCTGCATTTGCTAGAGAGGCATGTGGATGAGCCTAGATAGTTTGTCACTCTCTTGAGAAGTGCTTGAGAGTGACAAGGCTCATCCCACTGATTTTTAAAACTGTTCTCTTCTCAGGAGAATATTTAAATGATTTTTTTGAAAAATCACTTTTATAACTATGTTCCTCAAAAGAAAACCCCACACCAGAAATAATTATACAAACTCATCGTGTCAGTTGCACAGGTTTATTTAACTGGCTGTTAGTAAAGAAAATAGTTTGGGAACTGAAAAAATTTCTTCAAGCTCCTGTATTTAAAGGGAATATAATCTTGGTATCCACCCATTTAATCCGTCAATATGTTCATGCTCAGAAATGCTCATTCTCTTGTGTAACTTAATGTTGGATACATTTTATTTGATTCTTTGCCAAGCTCTGGTTGCGAGCTCTCTGTTGATCAAGGGGTAGGTATGAAGAAAGCAGCAAGCAGCAGCGGAAGGGAGCCCGGCTCCAGCTGGCAGCCATCCACTCAGCCTAGGAGGGTTTTCCAGATTTTCACCAGCTGAGGTGCAGCTCCGTAAGTTTAAACATACTGTGAATTTGCAAACAAAGAGTGTCCGTATAGCATATTGATTCCTGCCTGGTTTTCATTCATAGAATTAAACCCTTAATTTCATTAAAGCCCCTTGAAGAATGTGGAATTTTTGGAAATTTATTGCTTTAAACTTCTTTTCCTTGGTTCCCTTTAAATCTCTGCTGTCCTGTGTGGCCCAGGGGCATTGCTGAGGATGGCCAGTCAGGGTCCCCTGGCCAAGTGCCGGAGCAGATCTGTGGCACAGATGGTTTCACTTACACCAGTGGATGTGGGATCTGTGCCTGTAACATGTCAATCCGATGGAAAGAACATGCTTTCTGAGTGACAACCCCCCAGCCCCTGGTCTCTCCCTGTGCTTGTCTAATTTATCCTCCTTTTCTCTTTGCTTGCTGTTTGTGCCTGGGGGGAAATCATGAGAATTTAGCAGAGAAAAGAAAATAGCTGATGAAAATAGCCAGAGTGGAAATTCAAATGATGCAGCACTTTCGGATGGCATAGGTTTGTTGACTGATAGGATCATCCAAGTTAACATATAGGTCATTAACTTGGATGAACTCTCCTTCACTTGCATCATTTGAGAGTTTTATTTACATTCCCAGCACCCACCCCCCTTTAGGAACATGGTCATACTCAGTCTCGAACGGCAGGATTTCCCATGGCTGGAGAACATGGGACACCCAGCAGTCATCTCAGTGACTAAGAAGGAAGGCAAACCAAGAAGCTTTTTGCCTTGTACAAGGCAGGATCCCTAATAACATCAGCCAGCTGCTGAGCAGGCAGTGTACAATTGGACGTAAATGATATATATACCTTCTGTTGACATTTTATTTTGCAGTGATTTAACTTTACCTTTCTAATATTACTATTCTCTACTGGCTGCATTCAAATGCGTGAAGAGAAGGATGGCAAAAAAGATGCAAAATATGAGACAAGTAGCAGAAACACTTCTTTGCTCTGCAAGCATGTACAAACAACCTTCAGTGACACCATCATGGAAGTGTGACGTAACCTCTTTCAAGACCAAAAAAGCTGATGCACAAAATCTTTTCAGATACTGGTGCACTCAGCTCTCCTGAGACATGAAAATTTTTGTCAGATTGCAAATGGGGCACAGTGCCCGAGCCAGGGGATGCAGGGGCCATATGATCATGTACAATGTAGCGG